ATTCCTGATTTACACGCTTATGGCGGCACCAATACTACTACAAACAATTCTACCATTTGTGCTTCTATACCCCCAACCGGATCCACTCGTCATTTTAATGGAGCGCCTCACGCTATCGACTACCAGCACTTCTTTGAGCCATTGACTACTATCTCTGACCCCGCTGCTTCTCAAAAACCCTTGCCTAACTCGGCCTCAGGCATGGCAATGAAGCTCAATCAGCCGCAATTTCTCTACCACGAGCTTGCCGATGCAACGGTGCTCGATGGCCATCCCGAAACCACGGAACCCAATACCAATATTCCAGCAGTACCTCTTCCATTCGGAGCTCAGCCGCAGTCTCACTCAGCCTCGAAGTCGCATTCTAAATCACAGTCTCGTTCTTCATTGCCTAGAGATTCAGGTAGCTGTTTGGGTTGTAGTGTCGCCACCAGCAACAGCTCAACTTCTAACGTGGCTACACAGACGCTCTTCACGGGTGAAATCATGGCTACTCAATTGTTCCATGAGGATATGAGCATGCTGGTTTAGCCATGAAGTCACACGTTAGTTCGTCTGCATATCATTTTCTCCCCTGTCGTTGCTCTATAACTTTTCTGTGTATACAATAATATTTGCTTATACCTAGTTGTTAAGCTGTCACATTTCATTTATGTTACCTGCGTGCCATGTCCTCTTACTTTTCGCTCTCAAAATGACCGCTTTTTACAATAAATTGTTCTCTTTATCTCAAATTGCTTGAGATTCTCACGATTTATTTCTCCATTATTACTTTGCCTGCTATATTTAGTGATACTTCTAACCTTCATTTAAAAGGCAAGGTCTCGTTACCCATTTGTATTTTCAATGGTTCCTAAGTCACTAGTAACCTCTATTTTCACTTTACTCCATTTGCTTTTTGTCCAGTTCTGTTCCTCTACCTTGGATTCATTTGCATCCATTAAACTTTTTTGTTTGCTTCCTATTTGAATCTCAAATCTCATTCTTGCTGTAATCAGATGTTCTTTACCTTTTCTTTTTTCGGTTTGCTCGGATTAACTACCTGGTGCAAATGCTTCTTGTTGGACCGGAGACTAATCTTATCAACCTCCAAAGGTCTTTCAAGCCTCTCATGAAAAGAGGATATTCAAGTTTTCATTTTATACTATTTTCTATACCCTCTTAAGACAAAATGAATAGGACAGCTTGAACCATATGCTCCTCATTGTTTGGCACATCCTGTCATCCTCACTTCAAGTATTTATCTTGCTCCCTACTTCTATCCTCCTTCGCTTACTCCTCTATAATTTTATCTCTTCTTAAATGCTTGAATTCATCTATATCTTGTGTTCATTTTAATTATCTTCTTATATTTATCTGTTTCAAATCTGCATTTCTATCTTACTTTGATTAACTTTGTTTCCTTTTTACTCAACATACTTATAAGTACTTGTATTCAGACGTACGCACTCTTAGGCATTCAGAATCCGTGATAACACCATCGCAGCGCTTTTTGCTACCAGCCAGATTACTTGCGGCTTGCTGATCATGGTCCCTCAACACCGATCGACTGATCCTCGTTACATTCTAGTTTTCTCTTTGTGTCTCCTAATTTATCTAATAGTCAATACTAACTTAAGTTCGCATACCCTGTCCTATTCTATTTTGGTGAAATCGATTTTTGCTAACAGCATTCTTTGTGTCGCATTCTCTGACAGTAGTTTGCATTCCTGAAATAATTTCTTCTAGACAAAACTATTTCACTCAGGCACTTTTCTTATTTACTTAGTTCTCATTTTCCCTTTCCAGCTTTCTATCGCGCACACACCATATTATATATAATACCTGAGTTAATTAACTTACTGATAGCAT